TGATTTGCTGTGGGGACACTCTTTGTTTTTCCAAAATTGGGGGTGTCCAAATAAATTATGAAACTTCTTCAAAATTCAACTGACCCAAACACATTCTGACTGTAGAAGCTGTCTGGTCAGCCAGAGTCCCGTTCTGAGGAGGCCCTTCTGAAGGCAATCTACCAAGTGGACAAGTTGTCAGCAGACGTTACATCATGTGACTTCAGAACGCACACTCGTGTAGCCGGAAATCGTGAGAAGGTAAAGAGATGCTGGATTTGACAGGGAATCAAAAATATGAAAAAATAAATAAATAAAATAACACAAAGCAGATTAGACCATATGTTCTTTCTCCTTACAGGTGGTTCCTTTGGCTTTGGTTACTCTTCTGGCTGGCTGCTCCGTAAAGGAGGCGGAGTCTTGTTTAGAGYAAAGGCCAATCATTAGGGAGGCCGTGGAGGAGCACCTATCAAGAATGAGTTCATCATAATCATCTCTACTAATGCAGAACACCAAAGAAAGTGTTAAAAAATGTTTACCAACAATTTTCTTTCTTGAAAGTGGGRCCCCAACAATTCTGTGATACCTTGAGCTAATATTTTATTTTTCTCCTTTCAGGAGAGAAATAAAATATTAAATAACGTTAACTGAACTGAGTGTAATCAGACTTGGCTGGTCCCTGTTTACTTTTGAACTAAATAAATGTACATAATTGTCTTTGTTGTTTTTATTATTATTTTACAGTGGACCCAAATAAACTGTTGTTTGCATTATTACATTGCAAATCTCAAAGGTAGTACCGAGGTGACGGCTTTAGTCTGTGTTCTGTAACTGTGGGTGAAGGATCTTCCATTTTGGGTGACGTAAATTAACCTCAATCTCTCAGTTCCTCTGCGGCTCAAAACACACAGAGACACTTACAGGTCCTGGATTAGTGTGACGTGTGTGTGTTGAGRAAGCTTGAGCTGCTTTGAAGACAGCCTGAGCTCATGAGCCAAATGCAGCAGGTACAGTGTAGATTCATCCTCAAACAGATCAAATGCAACTTCAGTCTGGATCAGAGAGCGTTAACACAAAATTCACGATGAGTGTTTGGACACAAAATTCACGATGAGTGTTTGGTTTAGTAAAAAAAGATACCATCGGTCACTCAGTGTAATTTAAGCATCACAACTCTCAAATCGTCAATTTATGTCAAAAGAACAAAACTTGATACAGGAGGTCCAAGGGAGTTTTTTCTGCAGCGCAACTGGACTATCCCTTAGAGATTCGAATCAGCTGGTTCATCTAGTAAAAATGAGTTGTTCTGGACATGGCCAACTAGGAGGAGATCCTGGTGAAGACCCAKKACACTCTGGAGAGACTATGTCTCTYWGCTGGTCTGGAAMACCTTGGAGTCCTCCCAGAAGAYGTGGCTGTAGAAAGAGGGGTCTGAACCTCCCTGATCAAACTGCTGCCCCTGAGACCTGACTCTGGAACAAGATGATGGATGGATGGATGGATGGATGGATGGATGGATGGATGGATGGATGGATG